TTATTATTATTATTATTATTATTATTATTATTATTATTATTATTATTATTATTATTATAATAGTATATTTTTAACATATCTATATCACCCATTCCCGGGTGGCTATGTGCGCTTTACAATAAAACAATATGATTTCGACAGCCTACACAAAGACGGGTATCAGGCATCGCCTTCCATTCAATATACAACTGTCCTTTCAAATATTACCAGAGCATACATATACGCACCTGCAATAGAAGTGTCGTCTGATGAAAGAACGCATACACAAAATGCCAATCAATTTTGCTGCGGATCACACTTCTAGCTGGAAGAAGTGTCGAAATATATGTAGCTGAATAAATAAGTTTTAAACAAATGTGTACTAAGACCATAATATGTAATATATAAATGCAGTTACAATATACACCTGTCTTAAATGCAGTCGGAAAGAAGTCCACACAGAAGGACCAGAAATCTAAAAAGCCATACTTCAGTATTAAAAAACTGGATTTGGCAAGATATAGTCTGATTTTTTATTTCATAATAGACAGTCAATCTTGAGATGAATTATAGATGTAATTCTCTTATCTATTCAAACCCCAAACCTCCGACTGGTGACCAGGTTCTTGACCATCAGCACCAAAAGCGGCCAACTGCGTATTTCTTCCTTTCAAGGTCACCTATTTGCTTAGTTTGTGTTCCAATCATTTTAATTTCTTGTCTCTCCGTGCAATGCTCACTTGTATAACATAACACGCCCATTCTAAAAAGGAATGGATACATTATCAGAACGGCTAAACAAGTTTGAAGAATGGAATACGGCAGTAAGCAATTAGGAATCCTTTTATCTTCCATTAACAAACAGAACAATACACCGTGCAGCCACTTTTCAGCACATGCTGCCCCAGTTTAAAAGCCTTTTAGATGTCAGCTTCAGAGTTGTAGATTTTTTTCACACTGTTGCATTTCTTTTAGGTGCAGCATTGCAAGCACAAAGGAAGAGAAACAGACAGAAGAAAACCACTTTTCAAAACATATTCACTAAAATTCTATTATGAGTTTTGTCAAATTAACATGTTGCACTATTTCCTTTCACTTGTCTTTGAAAAGGAGCTCGGTGTGTTCGGAACTTTTCCTTCTTTGCCGTCATAAATTTGCATTCACGATTTCGGCTCCTTGGGTCATCACGATTTTAATCTACGAGTACATTAATTCAGAAAACACAAACGCTACTTCTGTGTCCTGAGCACTAAATGCACTACCGGAGGAAAAACAATCGTTGAAAAACTTGTATCTGCCTCGCGCACAAACAATTCTTTATTTCCACCTACTCGTACCAGTTCTGAGGGTCAGAAAGACTGTTTCAGTGTACAGAAAACTATTACGTTATACTTGTTTGGCGAACATTTGGTCTGCAATTGATCGTAAAGCTTTACGCCCCATTGGACCTAACTTAGAACAGATTACTTTGGAGGCGGGCTGCTTCAACATTGTCTGTCAAAGACAGCCAAGACTTTGTAAGATACAGCATTCCAGCAGAAATATAGAGCAAATACTTTATAAAAATTCCTTACGAAGAGTAAAATAAACCCACCTGACAACGAGCACAATATGCCAGTAACAGACAAGAGCATAATCACAACACCTCAGACACCGATGACTTGTCTGCGTATAGCTATCAGGCTATCGTAGACCTCTATATAATAATATTATTTTATTGTTAATAGGGCTCTTCTTTTGCCATTTATAAAATTAATATTCTTTTTCTAAAGTAACTCTTTCACCGGCAACCTGGGTGTAACACACCCGTATGTATATGTAATATAGGATAATATTGACCCATCTTATTTCTGGTCAGTGGATGTATAATACAGAAAACTTTTGTTTGTTGGTTCAGCTCTTATTTACTTTAAAGTACAGCTTGAAAGAGCCCATTGCTTTACCCTCAGCCGATCCATGTGGCACGATCCCGAAGTAAAAACATGAAACTGGTACTTTATTTACTCACCATGCCCTCTCACCAACAAATGCCTTTCTCTATTAAAAAAAGAAAAACGATGGATACTGTGGATGATTCTACAAACAAAGAGGGACGGACCAAAAAAAAAACTAGCTGAAAACACGTTAATTGGTGCAACTGAGATCAAGGCTTTCATTGGCTGGTAATTACACATTGGTGCCATGCATCAAAGCATTCCTTTTTTTTGCAGTTTTATTTTCACCCAGGCTGAGGGGAATCATGGTTGAAGCAGCCTTTTCATTGACACGATTCATCAGCCCACTGAAATGTTCTCACTTTGATGACAAAATAACATTTGCCAGGCAAGGGACGTTTTCGCCCAGGTCATAAGCTCTGGAAGACTTTTCTGAATAACCTGGCCAATGTTTTGTTCCAGTGTAAGACATCACAGTGGACGAGCAACTTGTTTTGTTCTGAGGCTGTATATCCTCAGAAAACTATATAATTACGGGATCAAAACCTCCTGGGCTTGCAATCCTGCAACAATACTATCCTCTATCTGAGAGGTATTCATTCCATATCTTGGAAACAGACGGCTAACCGACCGACCTAAAGATAATTGCTCTTGGTTCTCCAGTGGTGACTTCTCTTTCCAATACTAAGATTTTTACGGCACAGACCAAAATGTCAAGCGTGACAAATTTTTCACTGATCTGAATCTTGTCGAATTCTTGCAAGAAAGTATGTCTATTTTCTAAACTTCATAAAATGATCCCCATCAAACATCCGTGTTGGTGCGTGTGTGTGCAAGTATGAAACCAGTCTTGCTGAAATACTACCTTTATGTGTCACCAAAAGCAATATTTGTCAAAGTTTTATTCATTCTTCAGTTTCAATCCATGTATGGTATACATTGTTTTTAAACCAAGTAATTTTATACTCTATTGAGAAATACACTTTTTTGACACTATAAAGAGTACGGGTGTGTTACACCCAGGTTGCCAGGGACCGTGTATAAAAAAATTCGAATGATCATAATAAATTTTGAGAGCTGAGCCCATTTACTTCGTCTATTTTTGAGGATTACATATAGTCTTATCATCGTATCTTGTACGTAGTTAGAAAGATAGATACCGAAACAGGGTCCCTTGGTGTGTTACACCAGTTGCCGGGGAAAGGTATAAATCTTAGAATGTTCCTAATGTGTGTATTGGAGAGGGGGGCGGGGACACATTATAGTTTGTTTGGTGTTTCTGTTTTTTGTTGTGTTTTTTTGTGTCGGTTTCCCATTTTCAGGTTAATGTCGTTTAATTGTGACACGAGCTATCCTTCTATGTCGTAGATAGATCTAATCATGCGCGGATGGATTACTGAGATTACTGACACGATCAATGAGCTACTGGGAGACCAAACTGAATGATACATTTACGTGTACGAATAAGTAAATACGCGAATGAAGTATAAACAAATAAATGAACTTTTAAAAGTAGAAACACTTGAAAGAGGGGAGGCTTGGTATTTATTTAATACTTATATCATAACGTTGTTCAGCTCAATACAGAGGGAACAGACGGAGGAAACACACACACACAGACACACACACACACACACACACACACACACACACACACACACACACACACACTCACACAAACACACACACACACACTCACTCAAACACACACACTCATAAAAACACACACGCACACACACTCACACACAATACACACACCCGTTTCCCCTTAATGAGGGCGGCTACACATGAGGGCTATCTCGCTTTTTGTAGATCAGTTTTTACCAAATTTCAAACATATAACAAGCATAATGAATAGTCTTCAAATTTGCGATCAAAGTTTAGAAAAAAAATTTCCTTGCCCTGGAGACAGCGGCCATATTGGATTTGTTGATATGCCTTATACAGCTAATACCTCAATTACTTTTTTTATGGAAATGTGTTGTTACTTTGCGTATATTTTAGCAAACAATAGGTGTACAAGATGGTATGTTGAACGTTCCCTAAACGAATTAGGAAAGCTTCTTTTTTTTTCTTGAAGTGGTATTCAAGGTTGAAAAAAAAATCAGTCAAAGTTCACACTCCAGACACTATCGACAAAAATCTATTTATATATTGAAAATGTAACAAAACAATTTATAGAGTTACATCTTCTTTTCATTCTGTGAAAATTTCATAAAGGTTTAATAACAAAAATTTAGAGTAATTTTTTAAAAGTCTAATACAGAAAAACTGTGTTTTGAGAAAACAACTATTACAGCATGCCGGATATGTGATCAAATCAACTTTCGGAGGTTCTAATTCGATGAAATAATTATAAGAGAGGCTGAAGAAGTCAAAATGCCTACATCTCTTAATCCATAATCAACCCAACTTTAAGGGTGTACGCCCCCCACCTTTAAGAATTATGTAAGTTTCACTATACGGAGTTGTAAGGAGTGTCAAATGTGTGATATCTACTATAATTAAAACCATTTATTTTCCTTTCATTCCAACTTCCTAAGACAAAAGCAAAGCTGTTTTATTCATTTCTTTGTTATTTTTAAAAACCTTTTGTTTGTTTGTTTGTTTTGTTAATCCTACTGCAGCGCACTATAAAGGGTACATAGGTGATGAATGTGGAAAGAAGGCTCGGATTAGGGGGAGACTGGTTTTCACTTAATTTATTGAGGCAAAAGCACGCACAACATAAGATGGTTTGTTGATGGTTTGTTCGTTTTTTTGGTCTTATTTGGGTTTTTTCTGGTTTTTAAATTTATTTGTGGGGGGGGGG